GTGCAGTGCTTGGCACTGGAGAAAGGAAGCAAAGACAGTCCAGGTGCTGTTCCATTTATAGAGAGAGAATCTCAAGCACAGCATACATTCAAAAGATAAGGTCTGTGTGGGAAAAGTAAGTGTTTCATCCAGTGTCGAGCTACTGAGGTACTGTAACAGGTGCTCTCACCTGGGAATAGCACCTGGGCTTTACATTCCCAGTTAGAAGGAAAAACCCCAGCACCCTCCAGTGCCTGGCCCACGGAGCTGTGCCAGGACAGAGCCAGAGCCTGCCAGGGAGGGCCGAGCTCTGCTGGACCCAGCTCGTGTCCAGCCAGCCCCTCCTGGAGGAACAGGCTGCAGGTGAGGGCTGGGACCTGCCCCATGGCTGCGGCTTCTCAGGGGGCACGGCCTTGTCCTGCAGCCCTGGGTGTGTGTGCTGTGAGCTGTGAGCAGTGTGTGAGCTGTGTGCTGCAGCTCCTGGGTGTGTGAGGTGCAGCCCCTGGGTGCTGTGGGAGGGATCTGCCGGGGCTTTGGGACACCTGACCCTGGATCACCCTGCTCTGTGCCAGCCCGACTGCGCGGGGCTCGGGGCCAGGGCCGGGATGGTGCCTGTGGGACAGCACACCAAAGTGTCTGCCAGCTCTCAGACTGGGGGGTGTCCCTTTGGGATGTGGTGCCGAGGGGACACAGCCCAGTGTCCCCTCGGCACCACAGTGACTGCCCTGTGTCATGCTGTGTGACATCCAGCTCTGTGTCAAAACCCAGAGTCAGCCCTGGAGCTCCTGTCCCTTTTTCAGGGCTCTGCTCTCCCAGGTCTGAACCTCTCAGGTGGATTTTAAAAAGTATCTAACCTTAGTAATCAATAATTTGTCTCCATCTGCAGCCCCCACCCAAACACTGACCACCTTCTCCAGTGCAGTGACTGCCACTTCTACTGTCACCAAACTACCCTGATCTCCTAAAATCAACAGCATTCAGATACTGGCATCAGTGTCAGCAAGCCCAGGTCTTGGTTTCTGTTTTTTGGTCTTGGTTTTTCTGTGCTAAAATATTTTCCTCTCAAAAAATGAAAAGCTTATGCTATGTTCAGCTTCAACACATGGATTTTTCTTCTTCCCATGGGTATCATGGAGAGATTTTTGAAAAAGGTTCTTTTGGGTGTTTTTTGGTGGCTTTCACGGCATGGAAAAGGTCACACATACCTTCCTCTCATCCCTGTGTATTGTTCTTCTTCTGTTCAAGCTCAGAGATAAGCCGTGTGTCAACTGTGAAAAACTGTGCCAGAAGGAAATCATACCTAGCAAGGCCATGGATTTTTTGGTTAAAGACATTAAAACTTGCAGTCAGCTTGCTCTTTGGATCTTAAAAGATGATGACACCCTTACTGCGCTGCCAGCTGGAGTCAAGGACTTTGCATCGCCCCCATCTCCTCCCCCATGGGTCTCTACAGCAGTTTTCTCCAATTTTCACCACCCAAAAATCCTTTTCCCAAGTTTCATGGATATTTCAGATTCACAGCATGGCTCTCTTTTCATTCTTGCAATGTTCTGGAAAACCCGGAGCCTTACACGCGCTCCCGCTGTAGTGCCTGCAGTTGTGGCTTGGCTGTGTCCCGTGTGCAGGACTGGCAGCGCAGGGAGCTGAGCACAGCTGGAGCTGCCCAGGAGCTGGGGCAGCCCCGAGGAGCTGGGGCAGGGCTGCTCCGTGCCCGGGCTCCAGCCCTGGCCGTGCCAGCCCGGCGTGGATCCATGCCGTGGCCAGAGGCGCCTCGGCTGTTTCAGCTTTCCCTGAGACACACTCACACTGGGCACAGTCGCTCTGTCGAGGCTCTTGTGACCAGAGTCTGTGGGAATCTGAAACGTGTGACAGCCCCTCTTCACTGGGAGAAAGGATGCTGATACCAGTAAATAATAAAAGGTATTTTGCTGTTTCTAATTGTTTGCTGAACTGAGAGAACCTGCAGTTGTGTCTCCTCTGCAAGCACTTTTTAAAAGAATTTGCATGCGTATCTTGACACAACTCCATGTTCTCCATGTCTTTTGCTCGGTTTTATGAGGATCTTGAACTCAAATTAAACCCTTAGGAGAAGGGCTCTGGCCCTCTCCCTTATTCCAGTTTGGTGCCTTTGGCCATTCCAGCCTTTACAGGTGGATGGTTCACTTTCCCTGTTGCTGTTTCTGGCAAATCTCCTCTCACTCCCCAGGAGATGGTTCCAGACTGGGCCACTGAAACTTCCCATTGGAAATATGGTGGGTTGGGCTTAGGTAGGAAGAATGCCCCTGGATCCCTGGCAGTGTCCCAGGCCGGGTTGGACACTGGGGCTGGAGCAGCCTGGGACAGAGGGAGGTGTCCCTGCCATGGCAGGGGTGGCACTGCGTGGGCTTTAAGGTCCTTCCAACCCAACCCATTCCACGATGAAATAACTTTTTAACTACACTGCTGCTCACTCTTTGAACACTTATGCCTGATGCTCAAATTCTCCAAGCAGTTCCATTACTACCCTGCTCATCAGAAAGGCCCCCACCCACTGTAATGTGACCCTTCCAGGACATTTATGGTATATCTATATATATAATACTGTGTATTTGATTTCAGAGCCATAGAAAGCAGCATCAATACCTTGACTAAAGAATTATAAAATGTTTCTTGGAACAGTTTGGGAATTTTTCACCTCTTGTTCGAAGTGCCACAGCCAAAAATACTATGCTTTTGCCAGAATGTATCGTCCTGATCAAAATTTGTTGATGGTTTTATGGCATTTCTGGATGAGCAGAGTGCAAGGCTGCTCTGTGGCCAGGACACTGATGTGGGGGGCAGAGGACCAAGGCAGGGGTAACTGCTGACCTGCTGCCCGTGCCGGGGTGCTCGTGGATTCCCTTTGGTTTCTCTTGCACAAAATTTCAGTAGATCTTGCTTTTGTCCTGATGTGGAGCAAAACAAATTACAAAACAAAATTCTCGGCTTTTGGCCAACCCTAGAAGTGCTTTCAGTCAGCAGAAGTTTCCCTGGTGGTACCTATTTCCAAAGACTCTTAAATCCCCAGGACGGGCTGTTCCTGCCCCCGTGAGCCATGCATGCAGGCAGCTGAACTGGGGACACTTTTGTCTCACAACAGCCTCAGAGCGTGCTGGGGGTTCCCCCCTCCCATCCCTTTGTTGTTCTTGTTGTTCTTTTGGTTTCTGCTGGTGCTTGTTGTGTCAAAGGCCAGGTGTTGTGGTGCGCTAGTTTATTTAGTTGTTCTTTTGCACTGGATGATTGGGAATTTGCACAGAGTAGTTTTTATGTTGCACTGAATAATAACAGAAGATCAGGCAAAGAGTGAAGGCTCAGTGATGATGGATAACCAGGACCCAAACCTTCAGGTCCCTGAGTATGTATATATTTTATTTAATAAAAGCTTTGATTCTCCTTCTTTACAAGTGCAGGGTTACTCTTTTCATCACTTCTGCAAAGTGTGAGTGAACGTATTCTGTACATTTTCTTCCTTAAACTGAAGAATAATTACATAATTCCTACTTTTATGTCTTCCTTTACATGGAAAAGCAGAATAATTCCATGCTGTGAACCAAAACAGAGTCTGAATGAGTTGTATTTACATTTTCTAGTAGCATTGAGCAAGTGAAATTAATTGTTTGTAAGATTTGGGAAGGAGTGGAAGCAAACACGGATATGCCAGGACCATGCTGCCGTGGTCTGATCTGACAGCAGGGCGAGCAGTGCCTGGTGCTGCTGAGGATCCAGTGTTCTCTCCTGGTGTTCCCAGAGCCAGCTGGGATCTCCAGGAAAGGAATATGTGGCTTAGCAGGTACTTGGCAAGTGGTGGATGGCTGAGCAGGTGCAGGACACGGAGAGCCGTGGGCAGGGAGCAGGCACCGGCTCCAGGCTCCCAGAAAGGAAAAGTAGCAATGTTTCCTCTATTGCTTTATTGCTCTGACACCCAAACCTTCCTATTTTATGAGGTCCTGGCAGGTATTTTCTAACCCCCCGCGGTATTTCCCAAGCAGTGAGGTGTGCAGTACTCTGCTGTGTGTCAGTGCAATAGAACATCAACCCATAGGGATTGCTGTGTTGGACTTCACTGCACTAAGGTGCTGCAATTCCCATCACAATTAATTGAGGATGGGGTGACATGGAAGTCCTGAGTGTCTTCCCGGGATCTATTTGAATGACAATTTAAAAAAGAAAAAAGTACAAGAGCAGCTTTTTCTGGTTTTGTTTAATAGCCACTTGATCCCAATACTTGGGTTTCATCTCTGCTGTCTGTACTGTGGTGGAGGGCAATTTGTTTTCTTGCAAAAGGAATTTAGTCAGATGATTTTTACATGTGAAGGTGTAATCACAGAATCCTGGAATGGTTTGGGTTGACAGGGACCTTAAAGCTCATCCAGTGCCACTCCTGCCATGGCAGGGACACCTCCCACTGTCCCAGGCTGCTCCAAGCCCCGGCCAGCCTGCCCTGGAACACTTCCAGGGATGGAGCAGCCACAGGTTCTTTGGGCAACCTGTGCCAGTGCCCTTCTTCCTAACACCCAATCTAAATCTCTTTCAGTTTAAACCCATTCAGATATTGCAGAAACGCTGCAAACTGTTCAACACGTTGCTGTTCATGGGTGATCGGCACAGCCTGACGGAGCAGGGTGCCAAAAGGCACTGAAGAGGATTTGGCAAAACTCCCAAGATTAAAAATCCTCCTCGTCCCGGGGCCGGTTTTGCGCTTCTCTGCGGGCAGAAGCCCCGGGGGCAGCGGGGCTCGGAGCCGGGCCGGGGCGAGCGGAGCAGAGCGGAGCGGGGCTCGCCGTCCCCTCTCCGCTCCCGGGCTGCCCCGGAGCCCCCGGCCGGGCCCGGCGGAGCGGGGGCAGAGCGGGGCGGGGGTCCGGGCGGGGCCGGCCCGAGCCCCTCCCCGCTAAAGCCGCTAAAGCCGCGGGCGGCGGGGCCGGGGAGCGGCACCGGCGGGGGAGCG